ACGCGGTTGCCGAGCACCGTCGGATTGGCGGTCTTGGGGGCCAAATGGAGGGTTTCTCCGAAGGGCTCAGGCGACCCTTCCTCCTCCTCCTCCTCCTCCTCCTCCCCCTCCCCCTCCTCCTCCTCCTCCTCCTCCTCCTCCTCCTCCTCCTCCTCCTCCTCCCCCCCTCCTCCTCCTCCAGCAGACACCCCAACAGGATCGTGCGGGTCCCCCTGAAGATCCGTGCTCGCGGTGGATTGGCTCTTGGCCTAGGGCGGTCTTGGAGTCGACGCGCACTGCATTTCATGACACGGTGAAGGACAAGTACCCTGTTCTGCTGAAGGACACGGATATGTCGATGAACAAGATCGGCAAAGCGTACAAGTTGCAGTTCCCGAGTGCGGCCCAGGCGTCAGAGTTCCAGGCCGCCTTCAACAATGACGGGCACAAGTGGCTAGATCGGCGTCACAATACGGTTTCCAACATCTGGTGCCGCGGTGATCGTCCTCTTCCAGTTCGTCAGCGGTCCAAATCTTTTGCGAAGATCTACCCTGCTGTGAAAGCTGAGCTTCAGAAGTCTGCCATGTGGACGGAGAAGCATCGTTTCGGAGTGAATGGCCATCGTGGTGTGATGTACGTGTTCGACGACACTGACATTGATGAGCTCGTCCTGTGCGAGCACAGCGGGGCCGACGTTGAGCGCTTCATCCCCAACCCGAAGACGCTGGAGGTGTGGGGCATCAGCGAGGCCAAGATCCGCGCGATCATCGAGAATGCCGAGCTGTGACTAGCTTTGGCACCAGAAGCAATCTGTGAGGTGGAGCAAGATATGTATGCTTCACAGTCTTCCACTGCTGCTGTTCGATTCGGGGTCCAGCAGCTACAGGAAGGCCCCTCTTCTTCCAGTTCCGCGTGCACTTCCTCGGCCTCCTCGTCTTGTTCGGAGTCCTCGTCTGGGTCATCCGATAGGCGCCCTGTCTCTGTGCAGCCGTCGCTCGTGCTGCCGCTTGCCCCTCTCCCTCCTCCACCGCCTGGCCAGGATCTGTATTGCTCTCCTTTCTTTCCTCCTATGGGCATCTCAATGGTTACCTAGAATGTTCACACATTATTCGGTAGCGTTTGGGCTACTCACACTCTGTCTCAGCTGAAATGATATCTTGGGGAAGAATATGACACCGTTGCTCTGCAGGAGACTCACGGGGGCCCCGAGAACCTTCTTGAGCTTGCTCGAGCGTTTCCTGTACATCGGTGTTTTGGGGCCTTTACTGCAGAAGAGATGTCTGGAGGCGTGGTTCTGATGATACACGAACGAGCTGCTCGACTGTTTGACCGCATCGAGCCGCATGAGATAATTGAAGGGATATGCCTGTCGGTAGTTCTTCGTGGGAAGTATGTTGGCTGTACATCGCGACTTTGCACCTTGACCCCTGCCTGCGCTTGTCTGTGCGGCGTCAGTTGTTGCAGTGCATCCTGTACTCTCTCCCCTCGCAGTCCCTCTCAACTAATATACTTGGCGGTGATTGGAATTTCTGCCAAGATGGGGAATCTCGGCTGCGGCTTGATTCCTCCTGCTCCTCTACCTCGTCCTCTGCCTCACTTAGCGAGTTTGTCGTTGAGAAGTTCGGTCGATTCTGCGAGATAGACCAGCCAGATTATACCCATAAGGTTGTTCAGCATTCTACTCTGCAATCTCTTGCCCGTGTTTGATCGTAAGTATCTAGATATGCCGTCTCATGATCTACTGGACCTTGGTCCTATGTCGGGGGTGTGCTGGCCAGTAACAGATCCGAAGTCGCCGTCGGGCCACTGTCCCGTTTTCGCTTCGCTGGATCCTCAGCGTGAGCAGAGGAGCTCTATTCCACGGCGGGCATCACGCTCGCCGCTGTTCACGACGTTTTATATATATATATATATAAAAATTGGAACTACTGGAAGGGATTGATATGTCTTCTGATCCTCTTCAGCGCGTACAGGAGATTAAGGTTTTGATGCATGAGGCACGCTCTCGCGCGAAGAGAATGCGCGAAATCCTCGGTCCTGGTTCGGTGGCCGAACGACTCGCGTGGATGGTGGGTCTTGTTCGGGCCCATCGGCCTGGTCACTTCGGGGCGGCGTCGAGAGCTTGCCGCGCCTTCTCTGAACTTACTGGTTACTACGATGCCTCGGACATGGTTTGGCTTGATTCTTCTGGGTTTACTGGTGCTCTCATGGGATACAAGAGGAGGTTTTTTGATGAGGCGACCGCTGAGGTTTCTCGGGGCCAGGACTTGCGCCGCCAGGTGAAGGAACATCAACGTAATCGACTAGCTGAACTCACGTGCCTGGGCTCCTGCGCATCGGGAGCTTAAGCTGCGTTGTACTGTGGGCTCTGAGGGTACTGTCTCCCGGGGCCCTGAGGCGCGCGCTCTTGCGTTGCCAAGTGCTGGGGCGACGTTGCCAAGCCTTTTAACTTTGTGGAAGATGCTGACCCCGCCGCGCTCCCCGAACCTTTTACCCCGCTCTTGGCCGGCCTGGGCTCTCATATTCAAGCTGTGCCGTCTGGAGCGCAGTGGCGATTATCCCGCATGGAGTTCCACCGACTAGTTCAGAAACGGAAAGATTCTGCTCCTGGGGTGGGTGGTGCCCCGTACAGCGCGTGGAATTGTGGAGGGGGGCAGTGTTGGGATGCCTTATATGAATTATATGCTTATGTATGTTCTGGTGGAACTCTCGCCGCCGATTTTAACAGGTCGCTGGGAACCTTCTTGCCCAAAGGTGAGCCTGACACCAGCACCTTCCTCCAGCAGCGTAGCGTTGACGAAGTTCGGCTTCTGTCGCTGTCCAACGCCGGCAACAAAATCATCGCGGGGGCCCTTGCGAAGCCTCTGGGGGCTATTAGCCAGAGTTCTATTCATCTTGTTCAGAATGGCTTTGTTCCCGGCCGTAACCTCACCGAAAATGTGGTGTCCTCAGATTCTACTCTTATGATGTGGCCCGAAGCTGCTGGCTGTAGGAGCGCTGGAGGCGCGCTGTCTGATATTCGCGCTGCTTTTCCGTCTGTGGCTCATGGATGGATGTGGCGCGTTTTGTCGTAGATGGGCCGGCCTGACTGGCCCCTCACCGCCCTGCGCTCCATGCGCACTGATGTGGAGGCGGTCGCGTCGTTCCGCAGCAATCAGGGGCTCAAATTTCCCCTGGGGCGTGGGATAAAACAAGGGTGCCCTCTGAGTGCTGTTTTTTGATCCGCTTACTCGGTTTCTTCAAGGGCTTCTTCCTGGGTGCGACAGCGTGCTCTCTGCTTGCGCGGATGACTTAGCGCTGGTATCGAAGGATATTTATCGGCGTCTTCCTACTTTTGTTCGGCACCATCTTCTGGCTGAAGCAATTACAGGCCTGCTTCTCCGCCCAGATAAGACGGTCATTATCATGCCGAGGGACTTTGAATTCTCGGATGTTCGCGCGGGGTTTAAGAAGTTCGGGCTCAGTATTCGCCGTTTTCAGGTTGCCTCTTCAGGGCAATGTTTGGGAATCATTGTTGGAGTACTGGGTGGGGGGCTTTCGTGGGATGGGCCTGGGAGGTCATTGGTTGCCAGGACTCGGAGGATTCGTGGACTCGGTCGCTCCCTGGGGCAAAACATCGCGGCCCACAGCACGTTTGGGTTTCCTGTGCTTGCTTATGTGGCCCAGTTTCGGAGCCCGACCAGAAAACTCCTGAAGTTGGAGAGTGAGTGCGTCCAGTTGTTGACCGCAGGGCCGAGGAACGCGATCAATTCTGCCATGCTATTTCATCTTTCGGAGTTTGGGCATGGAGAATCGGTTCGCTCGCTGGCCCCTTGCGCTCATGCTGCTGCCTATCGTCTAGCTCAGAGGTCTGGTGCATCGTATAATGCACGCTGTCTCTTGGAGGACTTAGACGCCGATGCTGAGCTCTGTCTATCCTGGAAGTACGGGACCTATTATCGCAACTCTATATTCTCCCATTTTACTCACGTTTCTCATATCATGGATCAGATGCCTCGTATGCCGTCGGATCGGTGGATGCCGCAATTCCATAGTAAATGATTGAAGGCTTATGTACTGGCCGTGGATTCCTTCTCCTGCATGAATGCTTTCATGAACAAGCTGATGAAGTGGGGCCCGATCTCGGCTAGGGATGACCATATCACTCTTCATCGGTTTCGAAATGCTGCTCGTAAACTTCCTGAATCCTGCTCTACCGCTTATGTCAAAACATGGTGTAACGCTTGGAATACGTCTGCCCGATATCGTTCTGGAACTAATGATTGTCGTGCCTGTGGTCTTGCATATGGGGATAAAATGAAGCACTACCTCTCTGGTCATATCGTTCATCACGTCGTGAGCCAAGCCCTTCCACGTCTGCCCGATCCTGGCCAGGTTTGTCTGTCTGGAGTTCCCTCCCCTCCTCTGCTTGTTCTGTCTTGTCTTCCTCGGCCTTCCCTCGCCTCGCTCTGCTCGTGTCTCATTGCCTTTGATCTAACACCTTCTAGCTACAATTCGCTTCGTGTCCAGGATTTGTACTCGGCTCGATACTTTTCCTCCCTCGTGAACGCGAGGGCCAGGGCAGCCGCAGGCAGGTCTCGAATCGTGCGGCTTCTTCTCCAAGGAGCCGAGCCGTCCGTTGAATGGGGCGCACCCGACCGCGCAGGCGCGCCCCCGCCGCCTGCTGCTGCTGCCGCCGTGGGATGAACTCAGGTGGGAGTGTCGGTCCTCCTCCTCCTCCTCCTCCTCCCTCCTCCCTCCTCCCTCCTCCCTCCTCCCTCCTACCTCCTACCTCCTCCCTCCTCCCTCACCCCTCCTACCTCCTCCCTCCTCCCTCCTCCCTCCTTCCTCCTTCTTCCTCCTCCACCTCCTCCTCCACCTCCTCCTCTTCCTCCTTCCTCTTGTTCCTCCGCCACCTCCTCCTCCTTTTCCTCCTCCTCCTCCTCCTCCTCCTCCTCCTCCTCCTCGCCCCCCCCCCTATTCGGGAGGGCCGTCGCGACGCGCGCGTGCCGCAGACGGTGCCCGGCCCCCGCCCGCCGCAGGCGGTGGAACTGGCGCGGCCTGCGCCTCGGCCCCCCCGGCAGCCCCAGCTCGCGCCGGCGGCCGACCGGGCTGGGCGCGCGCTGGGTTCGGGCCGGACGAAAGGGGGGGATTGGGAAAAGGGGGGGGTACGAAATCTGCTGCGTGCAGCTGGTTTCGGCCCCGCCGAGGGGCCCATTCCTCGATGCACAGCCGCCTCTGGCGCCGCGAGGCGCCGGACAAATCAGCTACGTGAGCTGATTTTCACCCCCCCCCTTTGCTATCCCCCCCTTGCGCCCGGCCCGAGCTCGGTGGTTCGCTCGCTGGGCCGCTCCGCTCTCAAGCAGTGGCGAAGCGTCCTGGCTCGCCTATAGGCCCACCAGAGAATGTTCTAAGGACCTTGTTCGTGGTTTGCGCGAGGTGTTCCCAGAACATGTCTGTCTGAGTCTGTTTTGTTTTGACACATCGGGCTGATTTCCTGAGAACATTGTCTTTGTTCTTAGCACATGCTTGGGTTCTACGAACAATTCGTGGTAGGCCTATAAGAATGCCGGGGCGGTCGGTCCCTGCTCCACGCTCGCTGGGGCGCTCGCTGCGGCGCAGAAGGATCGAGGATCGATCGGCCCGAGTCGGGCGCTGCAGATGCTTCACCTTGGCAGGTCTCGTCCAGCGTCGGGCCTGGGGACCACAGGCAGGTCCCGCTCGAGGATTCGGCGGCGGCGGCGGTGACGGCGACGGCGGCGTCTGCGGTGGCGATGATGGCGGCGACGGCGGCGACGACGGCGGCGCCTGTGGATGGGACCGACGGCGATTGCGACGGTCGCGGTGGTGACGTTGGCGATGGTGGCGGATACGACGGCGCCGATGGCGACGCCACAGCGACTGCGTTGACGACGTCGGCGTTTGCGGGTATGTTGACTTCGACAGCGACGGCGACGGTGGCAGCGACAACGGAAATGGTGACGTCGAAGGCGAAGTGAAAGACGACGTGTGTGTTCATCGTGCGACACTTGCCTCGCAGCCGAGGCCACTGGAGCGTGGGAGGATTGAGAGGTGCGGGACCCATACTTCAGACGTCATGTGTTTGTTAATGCGTCGCCCCCGGTCTGGCCTGTCCTGGCCTGTCCCAGGGCCCGAAACGTTTGGATGCAATTCCTGGGAGGTTAAACTCTAGACGCTTCGCGCAACCCCACCAGCCCATCCAGAAACGATGCCCAAGCGAGTTGCCCTGATCAGGAATGTGGAGGAACATGCCGTGGAATAAGGCGTTGGGGAAGCCGTCATACCCAAATAATCGGAGTAGGAGAGGAAGAAGGGGGAGGGGGATAAAGGAGGAGGCAGCGAGGGGGGTCGAGAAGCCATCTGCCGTTTGGCGCGTGGGCTGGAAAAGTGCGCATGTTAATGCAGGGGAAGAGGGGCGCATCACGACTGCGAAGCAGAACAATGAGGAACAACATGACCGTGAAGCAGAAAGCTGAGCTTCCCACGACTGTGAAGCAGAGGAGCGGGAGACGACGGAAGAGGGGAGGGGAGGGGAAGAAGGAAACACAAGAGCAAATCAGTATCACCGTTGCCGTACGCGAGTTCAGTAAAGAATGCTCAGCACCTTGCCTGGTCCCGCGCGGCTTCTTGCGGGCGTTGGTCAGAAGGGAAGCGACACCAACTTCTACGATAATATAGCCCCTCTGTCCATTCATATCTGGGTCTCCCAATTGGTCGTTCGCATGGGTTGGTCGCCGGTCGGGGGCTGCTTGGCTCAAAAGTAAGTTGTCGCAGAGCATTTGCGTCATGTGATCGGCATACCTAGTCAAACCATGAGCAGGGAGGGAGGGAGGGTGGGAGGAAGAGGAGGAGGAGGAGGAATACCGAATGAGAAAGAAGGAGACGGTGAGGAGAAGGTCGAGGAGAGGGCGAGCAGAAAAGGCCAGTTGCCTCTTGGATACATCTCGGAGTCGCTTCGGATGTCTCTCTAGAGCTTCTTGGAGTTCTCTAGGGGTGCCTGGGAGGCATCTTGGCTGTCCGGGGGAGCCTCGTGGGGCCTCTTGGGGGTCTATCTGGAGCTATCATGGAGCAAGCATGAGGCACACGAAGCTCATCGGAAGCGAAAGAGCGAGAAGCCAAGCAACCGTGATGTCCGTCATGTTTTCGAAGGGTTTTCGCTTTTTGAGAGCTGCCTTGGGGGGCGGGAGTGGCACTTGGACCCCTCTTGGAGGCCTGTCGGAGGCTATCTTGAGCGATGTTAAGGTATCTTGGGCTAGGAGGCCCGCTTGGGCTGACTTGGGCCCTCTTGTTGCAATCTGGGGCAATCTTGGGCGCTCTGACGGCTCCGTCCCCCGCCCTCCCAGGCCAAGGGGAAGGGGTAGGGGGAGGGGTCAAGACACCCCCTGGATAGCAAGTCATCGAGCTCATTCCCACCCGCTGTTCCAATCCATGAGTAACACCCGAGCCTGAGCATGCTCAGCGGTCGTATTTGGATGCGCAGCTACCGGGAACCAGCACCGACCCCATGTGCGCGACGCTGGGGCGAGGTGCGCCACGCGTGCCAGGCGCGCCACGCGTGCCAGGCGCGCCACGCGCGCCAGGCACCTCTGAGGCCCGAGCGTGCCAGGCACGCCTGGTGCGCCAGATGCGCTTCGTGCTCCGCGTGTGCCAGGTGTGCTGCATGCTTCAGCCGCGCCAGGTGCGCCACGTTCGGGGCACGTGACAGCACACATCGGGAGACATGTCGGCCCCCGCCATGCTTGTCGAAAGCCAATGCCCATCATTAACTATGTCTGGTGGGCCTGTGCACAGCAGGTCATACGCCATCACCCTCCTTGTCACTGCCAAAAAACACTTGATAGTGATTGCGGGGAGGCCGCGCATTATCCAGATCCAGCAGCGAGGTGCACTTGTATTGTTTTTGTTAGGGATGGTAGCCCTGCGCACAGCAGTCAATATGCTGACACCCCCGCCGCCACTGTCAAAAATGATACAAGGTGCTCGCGGGCCTCACGAACATGACTCAAGATTTTGCCCCGGAGTGTACTTTGCATTTTTTTGTTACCGGGATGGTGGGGGGGGAGGGGCCGCATCAGGTTGGCCGAGCATGCTCCAAATGTGGAGGCAGAGTGCGTTTTGAATTGTTGGGGTTGGGTGAGGTTGGGAGCATGGTGAGAGGTTGGGAGCATGGTTCTTGGTTGGCCGCTGGTCGCCTGGAGGAGGGGGTGTATATTGATAGGGACCAGTGATAAACCCCTCCCCCGAGCAGGGAAGGAGGTGTTGTGGCAGGGACCTCTGCTAGGCCACTCGGTCCAGGGGGCTGATGGGAATCGGCATCGGCTCTGGTGTATCCGTGATCGAAACCAGCCTACGCAATCTGGCATACTTTGACTTAGAATTGAGCTTGATCTGAGTTAATCCAGTGTAGTAGCCTTGCTCTCTGGCTCGAGAGCCCTCAGCCGCTCTTGCAAAGACCTCTCTGCAGATTCCTCCTGACGAACCTGGGGAAGGACCTGTGATGTTGAAGAAGCAGGGACGTCGGAGGTCTGGGGGCATTCTGTTGGATGGTCTTCTCAAGCTCTCCGCCACCCCAAGCGGTGCGCGCTCAGAGCAGGAGCGCAGCAGACTCGCGGGAGAGCGCGGCATTGACGTTGCACAGTGGCAGACGGCGGCGGAGCCCGCAGCCGAGGCCGCAGCTGGCGCCGCAGGCGCAGCTGGGGCCCGGGCCGCCCCCACCCTTGCCGCACGACCCGCGGCGGGAGCTGCCGCCCGCGCAGCGGGAGCAGCTGCCGCACCCGCAGCCGAGGCCACCGCCGACAACGACCTGGGAGCCGGAAAATGTTCAGCGGACTTGCGTAGTGGGGGGGGGGGGGCGATACATGCGGGGGGGAGAGCGTGCACCTTTCGTCCCCTTTTGGGCCCCAGGGGGCCTCTTCAGGGCCCCTGTAGGGCGCAAAAGGTGCACCTTCCTTCACCCTCCCAATCTATCGCCCACGCACGAGGAAATCGGTATAACATAAACTTTCCCGCCCGCCATGGAGGGGGGGGGTCCAGCGCCGATCCAAGGAATCCGCGCTGACCGCAGTAATAATGATTCTGCATGTTTGGGGATCATCTAGATTCGGCTACTCACGCACCGTCCGGTGCATTCCTTACTTGACTTGACTAGGTTCCGCTACCATTTCGTCGAATGCCCTCGTCGCCACGGCTGGATTAGAACGCGCCCCATGAGATTTCCGAGGAGTCGCCGTATGGTTACTTCTTTTTGCCCCCCACGACCGACGATTGACGGTGGCGACGCCCCCGCCGCGAACGATGGCGGCGGCGGCAACGGTGGTGACGGCGGCGGGTACAACGATTGCGGCGGCGAAGACGGACGCGACAAATTCGACGGCGACGACGGCGGTAAGGGGAAGCAGAAGCAGCATTATAGATTCCGGGCCTGGTGATTGAAGGGCCACCGTCGCCACAGTTGGATTCGCTCCGAGATTGTGGTCAGGACGCACTCCAGGCCCCATGTCAGCTCCAGGGGTCGGTTGTTTGGAGAATGATAGTGAGGAGAAGAAGGTTGATTCTCATCTCCGAATTCTTGGAACGTACCTGGACGGTGGTTGTTCTACTTTTTCTGTGTCCGGAGATCATCTCCGGGCATGGGGCCCAGAAACCAAATTGGGACGAAGGTGCGGTCCTGAGGAAGGGGTGGCCATCGGGCGAACATGTAGATTTAAACAAGACGCCTGATTTCTTGGAGGACGAAGACGAGGGTGCTTTAGAGTATGTTTGTGTGAACCAGGCAGTTTCAGGAGGTGTTTGCTCATTGACCCTCCCCCCCAGAAGGGATTGCACAGGCTTGCTTGTGTTAAGAGCTTCACGTGATCTTGAGATGTTCATTCAGGTTCAGGAGGTTCATTGAGGTCAGGAGGTGGTTCCAGATGCGACCAGATCGTTGAATATTTCAAACCAGCTCAAGGGGCCTCAGGTTTTGTGATGGTTCTACATACCAGGTGCCCTGAAGCTGCAGCAGGTCCCTGGAGGGGGCTGG